GTTCTCTTTTCTTTCTTTTTTTTTCTTTTTTTTTTTTTCACAAATTCAATTAATACTATCACAAAAATGAAAGTCACTAGCTCACCTACCAACAACAACAAATCTCCCCTTTGGTTTCTGAGAAAAGGTAAGAAACTGAAAGAAAGCAGAAGCACAAAACCTATAATGAGCAATGCTAGGGGCACTTGACTCTTGCACTCTCTGGCCAACACTTCCCCTTTCATTGGGCCACGTAAGCTTGTTTCAGGCTTTGAGTGCAACCTCTTACCCACCAGAATAACATGGCCCAATAAAAGTGAAAGTGTTGGCCGGAGAGTGCCGAAGGCGAGTGCCCCTAGCACTCATCAACCTATAATAGTAACAGAGGGGAAAAAAAAGGCAATTAATTATCAATCCCTACTACTGTGCAGTGTGCATATATAATAATAAACTTTTGTTTCTCAATTATGCGAATTTTTCATTTTCAAACAACAAATAAACACTCAACAATCAAATTTTACTTTCCCTTTATTTTCAAAAATTATCTTAAGTAGTTAATCTAAATTCTTATAGAGTTTCAACCCTAAAAGAAAAACCTTAACTTACAGATCAGTATAAAGTAACTCTGCATTTCTGTAACCAAATCATTTCTACCTTAGAACACAGCTTTCAAATACCCAATTCCCATTTAGCAAACAACAAAACCAAAATACCCTTTGAGCAGATCAGTAAAGCAAAGACAAAAGAAAAGCCTAAATCATGCAACTTAACATGGAAACTTGAGACTAGAAAACCCAATTCACAACATAAAAACTATGAGAAGCAGCTAAGTTTGAACTAATAAAACAGAACCCATTGCACCTTTCAAAAAAAAAAAAAAACCACTCTCGAAAACCTTGAATTCTGTTTTCTCCCCCGTAAATTCTGCAGCTTTTATGCCTTCAATTGACGCGACGCGTGAGAGAAAGCAACTGGTATTTACCCAAAAGGAGCAAATGAGGAAGAAAGAGAGGAGAGATTCAAGGTATAAAGGGTGAAGCTAGAGCAAGGGATCTCGGCATCTTTTTCCTGGCATTGCAAGCTATTGGTCACCACACGAGAGAGAATAGTTCCCCCTCTTTTCTTCCTTTTGTTTTCTTCTATCTCACCATAATTACAGAATCATTCACAAACAAACAAACAAAAAAAATTAAGAAGGGGAAGGAGCTATTTGATTTAGGTGTCCAAAGATCAAATAAGTGAATCCCCCATTTGGAGAGTAGGTGTCTTAGAGGGAGGGCAGGGTTACCTATATGGTATCAAAATCACTGCAAAAATGGCAAGAATATAAGGTACAAGACGCTTGAAACAATGTTAGAGCTTTTGCCCTAATTCTTGCCTGTCTTATATCCTACTAGACTCTTAGAATACGTTAGGAAAGAACACAAAGTCTGCCCTAATCTGAGGCCACCCGCTAATATACTAATACCCTAGCAATCCGCTAATATACTAATACGGTAATACCCTAGCAATCTCAAATAGCCTTCCTCCTCTTGCTTTCAAAGTTGTACCCTCACCCCTCCATCTTATGGAACCATAACCTGGAACATTTTTGCAGTTCAATAAGCTGAGGTTTGTGGCTTGTGAAGCCCGTTTACCATGGTAGCAGAATCAATTGAGACGCATCCAATTCCCAGATCTCAGCCTAAAGACAAGTAGCACAGCCACTTGATAATGCTAATGGCAGGACTAAAACAAAGAGACACCCTTGACGGACCAGACTTGAGACAATTGTTCTCATACAAGGAAAAAATGCTATAGAAAACCAGGTGCAATCTACCTCAGCTTATGGATCAGAGCAGAATGAACCAAAGTGGGATTCTGTCTCATCATATTGCAAATAGCATGGTGTTGACAGAGAACCTGTGCAGGGCAGGAAAAGATGGAGTAATATTATTTGTGACTACAACAAAATTAAAACTTGGCAGTTACAGATAAAGGAGGAAGCTGATTCATTCTGGGTAATGGGGACTGGTAGTTTGAAGAGAAAGAGAAAGCTGCCTGGTTTCTTTGACAGAAAAGTATATGATGCCTTGGATGGAGGAAAGTTTGCCATGACAGCAATTCCACTAGCACATATTACTGCCACAACAGAAATGGGCAATGATGATGAAAAGGAAGCAACAACAGAGGAACATGAGACTCAAGATGAAGCTTTGTTTTTGAAGCAGTTTTTGATAGTGGACACAAACACCCTATAACAGTCTGGGCAGGAACCTGAGAAGGAAACTATTAAAACAAGCGTGACAATCAAGAAGACAGTTAATAATCTGTTTCCTATTTCAGATGTGTTAAAGTTTCTGTGCTTTTCTTTCTTAGGATCGTTGAAAGCATTGCTTAGCCCTGATTTGCATTTTCTTACATATCTATCAATCTACGATCTTAAGCTCAAGATTCATTTTTATATATTCATTTATTGGACTTCAATCTAGCATTTGGGTTAAATAAACAGCACAAAATGTGGCATAAATGTTCTTCATTGCACTACTAAGTTAGGACTCTTTTTTTATTGCTATTGGTATTAGGTCAAACAACTTGGTTTATCACATGTATTAACATTCAACAGCAAGATAATATGCATGCTAATGCATTCATTTAAATAAACATAAATTCACCTCCTAGCTTTGATTTAAGATATGACTGGGCACAATTCACCTCCTAGTTTTGATTTAAGATATGACTGGGCACAATACCTCATAATTAATCACTACTAACGACTAAGAACTTAGAGCATATAAATGTTCCTTCTATTCTTCTGCTTCTGTGCTGCAGATAAAGTGAAAGAAAAACATCCAACCTTGAGTGAGTGGAAAAGGTCTATGACTCAGAAAGGATTGAAGCATAGGCAGTCAAAACTGGATGAATGTGAAGATGGAAGGCTAGACCCATTGATCAAGGTACTAAAAAGGAATAGTAACCCGCTAAATGAGCAGATTCAAGCTCAAAACACAAACTGTCAACTGGATAGGGACCAAAGGAAGGAGCACTCTGAAAGCCTGGTTGCCACTATCAACAAGCTCACTAATGCTCTGGTAAGAATTGCTGATAGGTTATAAGAAAAAAATAATAATAATAACTCAGCAACTTTTAGCTTCCTGCAATATGACAAAGTATGTAAGAAATAGATCTCCAGGTATCTTTAATTTTCTTACCACATTAGTTGTCTAGAGGACAATCCTCTTTTCTTTTAGGATTTACAATTATAATAAGGAAAACAGAACAAAAAATATAGAGTTTATTATTATTATTATTATTATT